TTTAACCTCGTTTGTGCTCTATGAGCTGTTGCGCCGTCATGTTGGCAAAACCATTATGTAGTTCCTCAGGACCGAATTTGTCAATGAATTCCTGCAGTCCTTGAATATCCTTGATTCACTCACAGCTACACGCAGTGACGGCTCGTCAGGGACGGCAGGGTCGGCCCGGCCGTACCAAATACTTTGAGAAATAAGAAAACATTTTTTTTTTGAAAATCCAAATTTTTTATTAGCATTTTTGAAGGACTGATACTATTAAAAATTAAAAAATTAATAAACATAAATAAATAAAAATAATTACTATTAATTTCTAATGATGAAGACACAATTTAATGTTTTAAATTCATCCCGGAGAGAAACTATTTTACTATGTCAAATGCCTATATAGACACGGGCCCGGCCGGCCGATGCGTTGAAAAATTACCAACAGTAATCTACGAGCTACGGCTTATGCTTTTCGATCGGTATATGGCTGCGTTAAGTTACAATTCTGGCGTAGATTGAAACACACAACATCGGCCGATAGCGCTCTGGCCGATTTTGCCGCAGACGCAGACGACACCGTGGATGCGGCGCGCTGGTTTCTACTTATCGCTCTTTTATTTTATTCATTTCCATATTTGCAGTTTTTACAGGATTGTGAATTATAAATTATTAAAAACTGATTAAAGAATTATGCATGTCAAGCATAAAGTTTCAAAATTTAAGAAAGTCGTTAATAATTTAATTTAGTTGGGTAAAATTGGATGATTCAAACAATACTGCAATATTTTTATCAATCAGTTGATCACATATATCTTAATACGGTATATTCCTAACTGTAGAGTGTTGAAATTGTATTCATCTCCTGTAATAAAAAATATTTTACATAAAATAGTCCGTAAATTCCCGTATAGTTTCCACCCGTGGTCGGCCGGCCGGCTCGGTTGTAGCAATCCAACGTACTTGGACGCTTAGTAAACCGAGGATGATCGAACGATGAATATTTTTGACCAGTGTTGGTTGCACGTTGCACGAAGCGTTTGATTGAATTGATAAATAATTAAATATATTTATATTAATTCGTATAAAAACTCACGATGGACACTTTTCGCAATATAGTTGACATGAATGGCGACTTGGTTAATTATTTATTAATACATAAATTTAAAGAATTAACTTATGGCCATAAAGTTTTTGTGAAGCAACGTTAATGATCAATTTGATTCAAACGAAGCCTGGTCATAATCGTGCATTTTCTAAAACACTCTACTGTAAATATCCTTCGTTAGCTGGCAGCGAAACACGTAACAAATTATTTTGCTGATATTGTTTATTATTTTCAGAATCCAAGAACCCTTATAATTCTAGTGGTTATGATAATTTAAAAGAAGTTCATCGTGCACTGGTCAAACGCAAAATTTCTAAGGAGCATATTCATTTGACTCTAAAATTTAAATTGTTCGGAAAATACAATATCGCGAATTCGTTGGATAGTGCCAGACACGAATACATATATAAATAAATACAATGAAACTGTTCGAGAAAACAGAATTATGGTAAAACATTTAATAAATATGATTATTTTTCTATCAACACAAGAAATGGCATTTCGAGGTAACGACGGAACAAGTGGTTGGGATAATCAAGTCAACTTTAAGGAGTTAGCAAAATTTTTAAAAAGAATTCGAAATGAAGATTATTATTTTCAAAGATATATTCTGATGTTGAAGAGATTGCTACTTTAAGACTGCTGATATAGCTCCTCCATCTGCGAAACGGCGTAAAACTGATTTAACGAATGACAATGACATTTTATTAACTAAAAAACGTTTACTAATTAGAGCTATCCTCATGTTTGGCCGACCCACGTTTTTTTGGCACGAGCCGTCACTGGCTACACGTATGTTTCAAATGATTTTCCTGTACAAAAATTTGTGATGACATCATCATCATAATATTTTGTGAGGAGATTGTATATAATGTGTATTCCATGCATCAACTTCTTCAATTATTCCAAGAAAATGTTTATTATTTAGAAATTCAAGATCTTCTTCAAACGGGTTTTGCTATATCAACCGAAATCTCTTGAAAAAGTTGAATTCATCCGCATCCTGAAAATCACTAGATCTGGCGTATCGCAAACGCGGAAATCCACCGTTAATAATTTCTAGGATGTCTAAATGAAATTTGAAGATATCGACATCTTGTGTGATGTCAACTTAAACATGATCTAATATTAGTTTAATATGCCAATATTGAGTGCCTAATTTAAGTAACGATTAAACTGTGATTAATATGTTCTATCATTTTTAGAAATATTACAGTTTTCTTTGAAACAATGGCAATGATTTGTTAGTTGCTTTAAATTAAAAACTGATATGTAATTTTAGAAAAAATACTCCTGGCTCACTAGTAGCTGTAGTCATTTTAAAAAGAAAGTTTTTTCCAAGCCACATACTACCTTAAACGTAGCGTTAAATCCTAAAAAGCATTATTGGAACCACCCTCGACATGTCTCACCCGAATGAATCAATATCGAACTTGAGACATCAAAAGAGACAAGTAGTAGTTTCGACGTGTTCAATTATTTATCCAGAGGTTATTGCTCAAATGCTTGAAGAAGCGTTTTATTGTTCACTTAAGATATGTGCATAATTTAGACCGAACTCATTCCGAGAACAGCTGCAGTAAAAGATACAGAGCACGTTGCTACTGCAATTAATTTAATGTTAATTGCCCATCTTACTCTGATTAAATTACCTTTCCAATATGTAGGTAGTAGATATCTGAACACGTCCGAATGATTGAAACGATGCAGACAGTTACGAACTTTGTTTCCTCCGATAACGTAGATTAAGAGAAAGAAGGGATGTTTTTTATCAAGTTCCTAATCTGAGCAAATCCCATAAATACCCATTAGCCGCGACAAATCTAATTTACCATCAACAAATTTGCCTCTCGTGGTTAGAGGTGCAACCAGGAGCTGCAAAACGGAACGTGTTTTCATTATTAACGTGAACTACAAGCCTCAGCTGAGCCGTACAAGGAGCGCACTGCAGAACCCTTTTAATAAATATTCGAAGCGCGCACGTAAAAACCCCTAAACCCCTGTCATAATAACCGACTGTTAGTCTGGCACAACAAAAGTAATTTGCTATTTAGTTACAAATAGAGCTCAATTTGTCGCAGTTAGAGACACGAAAAAGCGACACCCTGAGCAAATTTAAATAGTCGAAGGCTGGAATTTATCTGGGAAAAGCCACTCGCATTCTCCCTTCGATATGGAAAGCACGGGAAAGAAGGGTGGTGGGAACACATACACCTGTAATTCAAGACTGACACAAGAAATTATTTTCTAAGTACTTGCTCTACCTTATAGTCTCGGGTTTTATTAGTGTTATATCAAAGGGATTTCCGTGTATTATACCTAATTATTAAATTTTATAATTATGTAAACTATAATAAAACCAAGTATCTCATTCACGTCATCGTCGGCGCCCCTTGATGTAGTTATTTTAGAATTTAATTGCTATCTTCTAGGAACTTCATACACTCGGCTCGAAAGCACAATACGTATTAGACGAAGTTGGGGCAAAAGTTGTTATCGGAATAATCAGTACAATCGCATTTTGTAATTTGTACGGACTAAAAATTATTCACTACATGACATCACTCCTGTTGTAGACGAGAAAGACTGAATAGCGCGCAGAACACACGTAATTATTAGGAAAACAAGACGTTAAATGTAAAAACGAAATGATCAATAGTCTGGTAACAATTCTGATTTGTTTTTTTACATCTTCATGAAAAAAAAAAAATGGACGAAGTTTATTTGGACAGAACTTCACTCGGTCCCGAAGTACAAGTCCAACAAATCCCACCCCTTTGAAAAATTATAAAATGAGATTTTGCGATGTTTGTTTTGACAACTCAAAACGGATTCGTGCACCACAAGTATAGAAATTACTGTATAACATTTAAATCATTTTAAAATAGAATTCTTTAAAATGACGTCAGCAAATTGTTGGTGAGGATAATTAACCAAATTTTGGTTAACGTTTCACCATCTACATGACATTCCTAATATATATATATATATATATATATATATACAAAATTTGATATTAAAATTTTATTGCATAACAAACATTTTCGTCAGGATTTAAGAAAACGGAATTCAATTTGATTTTCCGCTCATTTTTCTTCAAAAGTACCACAGTTTCATTCACTCATGTTACTGAATAAATATATAGATGTTTTCCTTTAATCTTTGATATTACCATAATATTTAGTTCCATAACACATTATGTGAAATGAAATGAGACGGTGTTTCCAATACCGCTATCAATTGATGCGTAATCATATTGATGAAACATACTTCCAAATCAATACTGTAGACTGTGATGATTTAAAAGTTATTTGCTCCTGAAAATCCTGCAATTCTGCCCAACAGTATGACCACACACGAAGTGTTCACCAGCTTAATGTGTGTTATTTAAATAATTACTAGTTATCTAAATACGCACTTACTATTCATCAGCTTAAATCCTTGAACTCTTTACTTACCCATAATAAGACCATATTTAAATTTTCTCGAAACAGATGTGTCACACCTACTGCTTACACTTTAAAACATTACTGCTAAAACAGACTAATACTTCAATATGAGAAAATGTGTTCCCATAGTAAATTATTACCGTCGTAGAAATTTCATAATATCCAGATGAGGAATATTAATTCGCATCAAATGCTGTTACTTAAAAAATAAGCGATAATTTTGATCAAATCACGATGATTGATAATGTTTTTCTAAAAACCATTCAAGTATCTCCACTAATATGTCGCTAACAAATAGATTAAAATAAATTTTCTTCCGTCCGCGCGACACATTAAGACCCTGCACCTGAAGAACTCCCAAAATGAAAAAGATTGATGATGATCCAGTGTGGACTCATTTTAAATTGTAATTGATCTGCCCTTTGAGAAAGTCCACCGAACATCATTTAGCGCGATCTTACCTTTGCTTTGAGTAGATACCTTGCGTACCGGAACGTCTGAAAAACAGAAATTTTATTTTGTTAGTGCACAAAAAAATTAGGACAAATTAGTATTTAAGTTGGGGGCGGCTATTTGGTAATATTTCCATACGTAGAAAATATTTACATTCACAGGATCTAAAACACTATACACACTAACGGGTGTGCAATACAAAATATATTCTGAACATGCCTTGAAATTATTATTTACAGGGTGATTCTTTTCAGAGACTAAGTAGACAACCAAATATACTTTAGAGCATGGATAGTTTCATCATTACTATCTTAAATGCAGTCGGGTTGAGAGATAAGTAATTGACATTATATTTTTTTTGACCTAACATTATTTTGTTATTAAATGTCATTTTCAATAATCGTCAGTTTTGGGTTGAAAATTGGTGAACTATTGCGTTGCGCTTCCGACAGTCTGCGTTTGCAGTTGCGGTTACGTTGGGACTTAAATGCGTGGAAATGGTATCGTTTAGCTTTATGCGGTTTTGATTCCGTTTATGGAGTAGCTACAAATCGCGCTTCACTGACACTCAGATTTAAATAATCACTCTATATATTCACTTTAAAAATAATTATAGCATTTTAACATCGTTTTAGAATAGACAACTTAATAACTTCAACCATTTCATTATTGTTTCTATTTTTGTTTAAAAAACTAAAGCCCCTCTAAAAAAATTGGTCTAAAGAGTTTAGACAGTACTTCCCTCGCTGTCGAAAATATGACGACTGAATGCCTATTATGTTATTTTTCTCATTACATTTTTGTAGCTGGGCAATTTAAAAAATTTTGCGATGACGTCATCAACATTTTTGCAAGGACACGTATACCAGATTGGATAGGTGTAGTGTAATACGAAAAATAAAAGTACTGTATTCCCAAATTTTCGGGAAAATGAATTGGATCGTCTTGAATATTGATTTATAATCAATTAAATAACATTTATGTATAAACATCCTTAATTTAAGACAACAAGCGGTAAGACTTGTTCACTTGTTGAGATTGTACACGTGAGAGTCAAACAGAGAAACTGCAAACAATACCGATGGTCGCCCAGACTTTTTTATTGCTTCGAGTTCCCCTTATTAAGTATATAAAACATTGGATTTCATTTTAATTTTTGATGGTGTAATTCACAATTGATTGATTATAGCTTGTCTATATCACATTCAGGGAAACTAGTCAGCACAACAAAACAAATGCACCTGTAATGTTAAAGTAAATGTAAATAAACATTCATTTTACGAAATTCAAATTATTGACAGATAATGAAAAAATTATTGATTCGTTTTCAAACCAACCAACAAAATGACGAGCTACTTGAAAAATTATCGAAAATTACCGCTGTAATTTTTATCTTGTTGCTTATGGTCTAAATCTACAATGAAGTAAATAACAACAGACAGACGGACAGACACGACAGACGGAAACGGGAGACCTATTTTTTCGTCTTCTAGGGGTCATAAAAGGTTGAGAAAATGTAAACGTAGAGAGTCGGCCGACGATTTAATCACCAAATAAAATAACGACCATATATGAAAATAATAGAAAAAATTGATTTATGATTATTTAGATGAAATTTGCCTCGCCCCTGCACCGTGAAGGCGCAAAATCCAAGAGGGTGCGGTCCGTACAAGTGCGGACACTATTAAATATATTTAAATCAGCACACCAATCGGAAAAAAATGTATTCTCAGTACATGCTTAACTTCGACTATTTATGCTTATATAGTTACCTAGTAAGAGTGCGACTATTAAGCACATACAGGTAATCAGCATCAGCGGCGGTTGATCAAAGTATGCATTTGTGTTATTATTGGTTGGTGTTATTATGATGACTATTATTTTATTAATTACTATATTCTTACATTTTCGAGAAAATAAGGTAAACTGTTTTTGACTTGATCTGTGAAAAAAGAGTTGGAAATACTCCACGACCCACTTGTCGAACTTCCTATTATGTACCTAAAGTACAGAAAGAATTAAATAATAAAATTATAATAATGATAAATACGATCAAAGTGGATTCATGAACAGTACAGGAGTACATTATTTTATAAAATTTAAATATCTTATATTGCGCAAAATGTTAAGTTGACGTTATAAAATGGTCAGTGAGAATACTTAATTATGTGGAATTTATAAACTTGGTGTTGAGGTTGAAGTTTCCTTTGCAGTTGCTGTTCCCGCTGACGTTGCTTTTAGAGCTGAAAATTTCCATTTACAAACTCCGTTGCCAAGTTGCCGTTGATAGTAACTTTGATGTTCAACTTTTGCCGTATTTAAAGGGGTGGATTTAAGTTGATTACTACAACAATTTACCATTTTACACGTTTTATAAGTTTTTTGTTGCCGAAATAAGTGTACACATGTTAAGCAAAAAAGGCTAAATGCAGCCCCGCCCACCCGCCCTATCTCAATTATAGATATAGATCCTGCGAATATTTTGCCTTTTTTTCTTGAAGTACATTGCATTCTTTGAACAACACCAAACTCAAAAACATGATTTTAATTTCTTGTAAAGAAATAAGTATTTTGCAGTTAATTCCCCTTGGTTCACGGTGAATAAAAAATTGGTCTAAAGAGTTTAGACAGTACTTCCCTCGCTGTCGGAAACTTGACGACTGCATGCCTATTGTGTTTTTTTTCTCATTACATTTTTGTAGTGGGAATTTAAAAAAAAATTGCGATGACGTCATCAACATTTTTGCAAGGACACGTATATCAGTTGGGATAGATGTAGTGTAATACTAAGAATAAAATTATTATATTCTCAAATTTTCGGGAAAATGAATTGGGTCGTTTGAATATTGATTTGTAATAATCAATAAAATAACGAAACAATTTACTCACGTATACCTACGTATCAGAGGCAACTGAAAATCGTGTATGTATAAACATTCTTAATTTAAGATGACAGGCGTAACAGAGAAACTGTAAACAAAACGACCGTCGGTTTTATTGCTTCGACTTCCGCTTATTATATAAAACATTGGGTTTTATTTTAATTCTTGACGGTGAAATTCACAATTGGTTGATTATAAACATGTCTATTTCACATTCGCGGAATCAAGTGAACGCATAAAACAAATGCAGGTCTGTAATGTTAAAGTCGATGTAAATAAGCGTGCTACCCTTATGTTTCAACCGAGTTTTTCCTTTAACAAATTTTGTGTCTACCAAATTGGGTTGGTTGGGGTGTAATACTAATAATAAGTGTTGCCTTTAATTTAATCAATAAAATAAATTGACTTCATTAATTTTTTTGAACCACCTCTTAAGAAAATCTAAAAAATATGAATGGAATGATAAATCACAAGTACAAACTCATCATATTTTTTGCATTTTAGATAGGATTTATTCAGCAAAATTTAAGGGTGACGTCATCAATTTTTTTAGGAGGGATGAACAAATACATTTTGAACAAAAGTTTACCATGCTTATAATAACTTTAAAATATTCCCAAGATTTCAAAGCATTCGGTTTTGTAATTCCTGATTAAATCGATAAAATAAATTCACGCCTTCATTAATTTTTTTGAGTCACCCTGCATATGCAAATCCAAAAATATGAATGGAATGATAAATCACAAGTACAGACTCATCATATTTTGTACATTGCAGATACGATTTATTCGGAAAACTTTTGAGCTGACCTCATCAGTTTTTTGTAGAAGATAACCAAATATATTTTGACTAAAAATTTATTATGCTCTTTATAACCTTAAAACATCTGCAAGATTTCAAAGCATTCGGTTTTGTAGTTCCTGATTAAATCAATAAAATAAATTTACGCATTCATTAATTTTTTTGAGTCACCCTGTATATGCAAATCGAAAAAATTTGAATGGAATGATAAATCACAAGAAGAGACTCACCATATTTTGTACATTTTAGATAGGGCGGGTGGGCGGGCTTACATTTTGCCTTTTTGTTTTAATATGTGTAGACTTTTTTTCACAACATGAAACTTAGAACATGTTTAAAATGGACAATTTGTGTAAAAAAATATCAATTTTGCAGTTAGGCTCTGCCCCACAATTGCAAAATCTATATTTTCTGGCAAAAATGTACATTCTAACGACGTTTTAAGTTTCTTATTGTGAAAAGATGGTATATTAAGAAAATGGCAACATATAAGACTCCCCACCAGCCCTATCTCAATTTTGATGATTTTTTTTTATTTGTCGTAAGCCGAGAGGCGGAGCTTAATCTTGATGAATTTTTCATTCGTTGTTAGACCGAGAGGCGGAGCCTAATTGCAAAATCGATACTTTCCTATAAAAATTTACCAATTTAAACATATTTTACTTTTCTTGCTGTGAAAAAAAGACTACACATATTAAGAAAAAGGGGCAAAATGTAAATCCTTGTAGTTATAAGACCTAATCTGTTTTTAAGACGAATAGTGATAAATCTTGTTGATTTAAACATCGAGAACTATTTTTAACAATGCATAAGTACTGACAGAAAGCTACAGTGTAAAAAATGATGGCAGATTTTATCATAAAACGTCGAGGAAACCTGAAAGTAGCTATTCGTCGGATGGACCGTATTACAAGTCTTCCTTAGTATACGATCGGGAAGGAAAAATACATCGTTGTGTGAATGAAGTGTTTGATAGAAGGTTTATTTAATTTTCCCTGATGCTTTTCTTCAATTAGTAGACTGGTTCACTGCGAACCGATTATCGTTTAATAAAAAAAAATTGGTCTAAAGAGTTTAGACAGTACTTCCCTCGCTGTCGGAAACGTGACGACTGCATGTCTATTATGTTTTTTTTTCGCAGTAGATTTCAAAGCATACGGTTTTGTAGTTCCTGAGTAAACCAATAAAATAAATTTACGCAATCATTTTTTTTTGACTCACCCGGTATATGCAAATCCAAAAAATATGAATGGAATGATAAATTACAACTACATACTCATCATATTTTGTATATTCTAGGTAGGATTTATTCGGCAAACTTTTGAGCTGACGTCATCAGTTTTTTGGAGAAGATAACTAAA